TTATAATTTAAATTGATAAATGTTATAAATTCAATTATTTAGTAGTTTAATTAATGAAATTTGTTTATTTATCTTTTCAAATTATATATTTGAATACATTTATTATACATGTAAATACTTTTTTGTGTAATATATATTTTTGTTAATTAATGAAAATAAAAATTGTAATATATCATATCATTTATAAAACCATTTTTTTCAATAAATATCATCAAATTATTATCTCTATACTATTTAGTTGATTAAACATATATTGAGATAAAAAATATATCGAATAATCATATATATTGGTAATGTTGTATTCATTTGTACTTTTCTTAGGTTAAAATTATCTGGATATTCTTTGCTCTTTATAATTTCTTGACAAATGCTCTTCTTTCATTCTTAGTTTTATCTATTAAACCACAATACTCAAAGTAATATAAATAGATAGATGATGTTATTATAATTCATGAATAAAAATATACTCATTATAAAAACACTCAATTTTTTAGTTGATATTAAGTTCTAAAGTTTTAAAAAACACTACAATAAAATCTTTCATTTTCTACAATAATATAATTATTTTCACTCTTTAATTTTTATAAGTTCCTAACACTTTAGAAGTAAATTTAATGAAACTCTTGTTAAATAAAAACTTAAAGAATAACTAATGTTACTTTTAAAATACAATAAAATGCTAATAAAAGTTAAAATGAAATGACTTAGATATATCAGAGAGTTAAACAAAATAAGTCATAATTAAGTTATTTTATCATAAGAGTGTTTTTAAGAACAAAAATAGAAATAACAAAAATTCAATCATTTTTTTGGTTTTAATTCTGTTTTTTTCTTCAATGCACCTAAAAATGTTATATATGACAATGAGACAAAAAAGAAGAAAAGAACAAACTTTTTACTGCTGCTTTAACTTTTAGTCTCGGTGTATCATCTACAAGGTAAGTGTCAAGATTTAATGACTCTGGAAGTATTATATTTCTGATTGTGTTTCCTCTTACTGTTGATTGGTCTAAGTTAATTGGGTTTTTTCCTTTTTGTGTCATTTTTACAACTTTTAAATGGACGTTCATGTAGTTATCAACACCAACAATTGTTCCAGTGAGTACTGCCCCACTCTTTAATTCAATTGTGACGACTTCATTTGTTAGCCTCATCAAAAATCTTACTAATTTCATGGTTATAAGAAATGATCTTTTTAAGTTCTATTTGAAGATGGAATATCCAAACTACCCATTTTTTCCTTTTTCTGACCCAAATTACTTATCCTATTATCAAATGGGATATCTTCAACCATTCCAATTCTCTCAACCACCACCTCCGCCACCACCTGCTCCAGATAAATCTACTCAACAAATAAATAACCCTCATGAAGACAAAAAGACATTATATGTTGGGAATTTACTTCCTGGAATGGCAGAGGAATTACGAGGATTGTTTGAGGCATATGGGAGCATTGAAAGTATTAATCAACCAAAAGGT